CAGGTGAAAATAATTGACAGAAATTCTAACATTATCCACAGGTGAAAATAATTGACGGAAATTCTAACGTTATTCACAGGTGAAAATAATTGACAGAAATTCTAACATTATCCACAGGTGAAAATAATTGACAGAAATTCCAACATTATTCACAGGTGAAAATAATTGACAGAAATTCTAACATTATCCACAGGTGAAAATAATTGACAGAAATTCTAACGTTATCTAGAGGTGAAAATAATTGACAGAAATTCCAACATTATTCACAGGTGAAAATAATTGACAGAAATTCTAGCGTTATCCACAGATGAAAATAATTAACAGGAATTCTAACGTTATCCACAGGTGAAAATAATTGACAGAAATTTTAAGGTTATCCACAGGTGAAAATAATTGACAGAAATTCTAACGTTATTCACAGGTTAAAATAATTGACAGAAATTCTAACATTATCCACAGGTGAAAATAATTGACAGAAATTCTAACGTTATTCACGGGTGAAAATAATTGACAGAAATTCTAACATTATCCACAGGTGAAAATAATTGACGGAAATTCTAACATTATCCACAGGTGAAAATAATTGACAGAAATTCTAACGTTATTCACAGGTGAAAATAATTGACAGAAATTCTAACGTTATTCACAGGTGAAAATAATTGACAGAAATTCTAACATTATCCACAGGTGAAAATAATTGACGGAAATGGACACATAGTTCCGGTTAACACAAATGGAGAACTATGTACACGAGGTCACGTGACTTTCTTGGGTTATTGGGATGATGAAGAGAAAACCGCCGAGGTTATGACTCGAGATCGTTGGTACCGCACTGGGTAAGAATCTGACTAAGTGACCCACTTTGATCTTCAATTTTCACAATATTCTCCCCAACTAATCGGGCAGGTTGATTAAAGATAGACACGTCCATTCAAGCACTCTTCCTAAACTACTGATTCTAAGTTACCGTCGTAGAAGGAAAACGATCATTTCGCCAGTTGAAACCGGTTTAAAATGGTTTGCATTCCACCAATTACCCAAGACACGTTGACAGATTTAGAAGCACTGGTAACTGTAAGTCACGCAGGTCGAACTGTAAACGTACACACTATAAATAATCACTATAACTGACACGATTCATTAATCAATTTAAGTTAGTATACGTCGACCTCATCTGGACGACGGAACAAGTAAACATAGATTAGTTATATACTGAAAATATAATCTGTACAACACTGTTTACATTATATCAGAATGGTGGTGCATAAAACACGTATAGGGTTAAGTGGCTCTCAAAAAAACGTTAACTTATATGAAACAGCAATAATTAATCAGAGGTATTTTCA